TGCACCTTTACCAGCTTTGAGAAAACTTTAATGATCAATCATTATAAAAAATATCATATTTATTATTCTGAAATGGACCAATCTGCACAATGAATACTTTTACTTTTGGTACTTTAACTATATGTAGATGCTCATACTTTTCTACGTTTACTTGAGTAACATTTTGAATGCAGGACTTTTACTTGTAACAGAGGATTCCTACAGTCTGGGACTTTTACTTTTACTCAAGTACACGATCTGAGTACTTCTCCACTCTGACATTTACTAATTGAATAGATACATTAAGGACATTAGAAGGAAGGGTGTCTGGGTTTATGACTGTTTTATATGCTCTGCTGATTTGTATACTGCAAAAATAATATTTCCATCTGATTCACACTTTTCTGTATAATCACTAAATACTTTGTATGACAGATAGCCTTTTAAAATGTGTTCCAGGCTCCAGTGGGGGGGGCTCTCCAGGATGGGTCCCTGGGAGTGGTGTCTGTGGGGGCCGCCGACACAGCACCGTGTCCGACAGCGGGGACACCGGGATCGGGACCTACTGCTCCAACAGCGTGGAAGGTCTGTTAACCTGTCTTTATATCTGACTGTCTGTCTCTTACAAAACCAGCTGGTTATTAATCACTGAAATCTTTGCACAATTGTAATGTATACACAACACTGCTGATGTGACACAAATAATTTCCTAATTGGGATAAATAAAGTATCTATCTATCTAATTTGTAATATTTTTCTTTATAAGCAGAAAAAGCCTTATTAGCTTAATGTTATGCGGACTGAATAAGGCATTCGTTATGATTCTGTGTCGATGAGGATGTCCGACATGGTTTTTCTTCTAATGCTCTGTATGTCTTCCAGATGACTCCAGTTCCAGTACCACACCGTTATCTCTTCAGCCGCTCATGTTGCAGCATCTCGTGAGTCAGGATGAAGGGTCCGTCCCCCTGGTCCACGTCATGCTGTCCCCATCCTCCTCCCCGTACACCGGCTATAGTACGCCAGCCTCCACCAGCAGCAGCACCGGGCGCTGGAGCAGATCCTGCCAGCTACTGACCCCCGCCGTGACCCTGCCGGGGGTCTCTCTGGACATGAAGGACCACCCGCCCCTGCGGAGGTGCTCCTCTCTCACCAAGCTGCCCTCTGGGGTGGACAGAAGCTCCAACAGGACATCAGGCCTTCAGTACAACCCCCAAGGCTCCCTGGACCGAGGACTGCCACATGGGTACAGGAAGGAGCCCCTCGGTTCTAAAGTGGATCTTTACCTCCCCTTATCTTCCTCCTTGCTCTACAACAGCCTCCTGCAGCGCTCCCCAGGGGCCGGGCCCTGCTACCGCTACAACCACAGCAGTAGATCCAGTGGTTTGGAAAAGAACCGGTCCGTACCCTCGAGTCCGTCCTCATCGGTGAAACGCAACAGTTTGGACATGAAATACAGCGCCTTGCCGGAATATAAAGTGTCTCGGGGGGGGGCACAGCTCTATGGCCTCAGCTTACCCAAACCAGCCGACCCAGCACTGAAGGATCATCAGACCGACAGAGGGTCCCCCATCCAGCCGGCGGTCCGCACCCAGATGTGGCTCGCTGAGCAGATGGAGTACAGGCCCAAAGTAGAGGGTGGAGGTCAACTGGGTCCGATTGGTGCTGCTGGAACAGAGGGCTGTGGAAATGGGCCATCGCCATGTCAACAGGAACCGGGGCTTCACCAGGTAAGCGGCTTTGCCTCAGGGGTAAATGTGTGTCTACTGACAGACGGTCGGTGGTTTCATTCCTAGCCAAAGTGTCTTTAGGCAAGATACTAATTTCTCCTGTTAGCATATCTACTAGGTATGCTCCCATCAGGGTTTTTGGGACCGATCATAGGGTGGGTGGGGGCTTTGGGGATCTTCCATTTAATGTGTTGTGAATTGTTTAACAGAATTTCCGTTAGCCGGTAATTACCGGACTATGACCGGTAATATAATGCTGATGTTTAAAACTCAGTTAATGGGAGTCATTTTTATATTGCTTCAGTTTATAATCGTAACAGATCGAAAAGTTCAGATTCATTTTTCAATAAATGATTCCACAAATAACATCATTATTACATTCAAACAAACTACTTATAGTAGATGAAGTACATTATTCAAAAGTTTACATTTGGATAATAACACGGGAGAAACGGATCCTCTCTTTTCCTCTCCCTCTCTCTCTTCAGTTTCGTCTCTTGCAGCTCGCTAATCCAGTAATGACTGACCCGACAGTGAAGAATAAACATATGTATAACTTGTTTAGCTTGTTCCAGAGGTCGATAAAATAGCTAAGTGTGTTAGATCTAACTCATAAGCCTCATCCCAATACCCCTCCTTGACTCCTCTCTTCCCCTCCTCCGGGACTTGACCCGGAAATCGATCAAGACACGCCATTTTGAAGGACGTCCCAATAGCTGAAATGCACACGGAGGAGTCAAGGAGGGGTGAGGGAGGAGGGGTGCGGGAGGAGACTGTCCCGATCTGCAGCCCTGCCCGATCTGCAGTGCGCATGTGCAAGATGGTCCGCCATATTGGACAACTCCGGACGGCAACCCAGGAAGGACACTTGACACAGTGGCTTTTGGCAAAGCTGAAAAAGAAAACTCGAGAGAGATGAGTTATTGTTATTACAACGTGACTTCACTATTATTTAACAACTCTTTTTATTGGGTTCTGTTATTTGGGGTTAAGTACATTGTCAGAATAAGTGAGAAATGGATTTCACTTCTGTTAGACAGCCATATGCCATACATTTTTGCATACATTCACAGTAAATATTTATTCAGTATGATAGCTGTCACAAAGTTGTATAATTTTGCACGGACGCCAGGACCCGTGAAAAATTCAACATTCTGGAGTCAATGGGTTCAAATTGTCCAGGACGCTCACAAAGTTGTATAATTTTGCACGGACGCCAGGACCCGTGAAAAATTCAACATTCTGGAGTCAATGGGTTCAAATTGTCCAAGGTGCTCGCTAGCGCCACCTATGAAAAACCCATTTCGGAATAAATTTACAAAGTCGCACCGTAACTCCGAATGACCTGAAATTTTGCACACATATCCGGGTGGACCTGTTCTACAAATAATCCTCTTGGACCCCTAAGCTCCGCCTACTTTTATTTTTTTTCTAATTAGCATAATGTTCAAAACAGTGAAATATTCACTTAAATTTCAATTTTCTATTTTTGAACACCAAACTTCGTATACAGTA